GGGCTCCGCTGTAGCTGCATGAAGTGTGGATTTAGGGTTGGTTTTCCGTATTTAACTTTCCTACGTGGTTATTACTACAGTGCTTGCAGTGCCCAGGTACCCACAGACTCTGAATAACCACAGCGAGGGAGTTATCAGCGATGTTTAATATTGTAATTCTGAAACACTGAGGCAGAAGGACGGAAAGAGAAACCTGCAGGCTCAGTCCTGGGGGTTTATGCTGCTTTGCCCTATTCTTTGCTTTTTACGCCACTGAACACATCTGGGAGAGCTTGGAGGAATCAGTCAAGCTCCCACAAGAATTTCCTTGGTTGCACTGTCTTTTGCTTGAGTTTTCCCCATCTTTCTTTCTGGATTTTACCGTACATGTTGCCACGATGTTCTGGAGTGGGTCGTACTGAGGAGGGGTGGTCTTAGGACAGCGAAACTTCTCGCGGATTGTATAATCTCCTTTTGTTGTCGCAACGAATCCATCCGCAGTCAGAACAATTCTGTTAGCGGTTGTGTAGATGCACTGTGTAGCCAGCAAGGCACCTGTGGAAACCAAGCTGGGAATAAAGCTTTTACTGGGCAGCAGGACTGGACTTAAAACATGTCACTTCCCTCAAATGGTCCCTTGTCACCTGACAGTACAACGGTCATGTGAAGAGCAAGGAGGAGAGAGGAAAAAATAAGCCGTGTTGCTTGTTTCTTCTTACAGCATTACAGAGGGTTTGCATAGTAGAAACTACAGAGACCTGTTGTGGTGTTTCTTTGCCCATAAACTCGCTGCTGATACTTGGACCCAGACTATTTTTCTCTAGTATGCGCTGGAATACTCCAACTGTAGGGACTGCGATCGCAGCTTCCAGTCACAATGCTAACACGCTGCCTGTGGATCCGGTGTTCTAGCCTCTGTTCTGATACTCGCACAAACTGTTGTTGCGTGGCACGTTTCCCTCCTTACAACAAGAAGGATACTACAAGCCTATTTAACACAGGAAAGAGTACGGACTTTCCTGTAGTTGCTGGCATTTCCCAATTACTCACCGCTTGCAACATCCCAGACTGTAATGGACTGATCCAGCGATGCAGTGTACAAGTACTTAGCATCTTTTGAGAAGCAAGCACAGCAGATGCCTTTCAGGAGAAATGCAGGCTGAAAATGGATGGTTAGGATTAGATGGTTATGCTGGTAAATACAGGTGAAGATGCCTTAGAGTATTCAGTGGTTATTCAGAGCTTGCGAATAGAGGTGATCGGTTAAGATTTTTACAGGAGTGATCCTGGAAGGAGGATGGGAGGTATCACAAAGCCCCTAGCTTGTGTAGCACTGTACAGGAAAGGGAGCCTGGTATTCCTTCTATGGAAAGGAGTAGCTCAGATGTGTCCATGGTGTATTGTCAGGTGAAAGTAACAGCATGAGTCCAACCTCCTTCATCACTTTTTTTTTTTTTTTTTCCCCCTACTGGATTCTCCTGAGCTGGCCCAATTTGCCCCTTCTGTTGCTACTGTTAACTTGGGAAGCCTTGTTCTCTTCACTGGTGCATGCCATCTACCTTACACTGGCTAAATGAGCACTGATAAGCTGTGGGTAAATAACTCCTGTGACGTATGCTTAGCGTCAGTGGTGTTAACAGCGCTCATTCCCTTAGCACTGACACCTCAGTAGGGTATCTAGATGTAAGGCTGCTTTAAAATCAGACCTACATGCTGAGTATTGCTTGCTGCCTCAGTCTGAACAGCTATGTACAGGATTTGGGTGTTCTGGGAAGAGCTGGGAATCCTGTTGGATCCTCCCTGGCCGCTCAGGGCAGTAATCGCCTATTGACACTGTCCTACCGCTGTATTTTTTTCCTGCTGACAGAACTCCAAGTCCCAGAGACGCTGCAGGGAATCTTCACACCCACTGACTGCCCACTGCTCTCCATGGCTGCTTTCCAAACAGGAGATCCGGCTTCTGTGACCTTCCAAAGGAAACACTTGGGCCCGAGGGCAGTCATAAAGGAGTAAGTCCCCATTAGTCGTGCCACAGAGGACTCTGTAGTCTGCAAGGACGGCCGCTTTGGAAATCAGACAGCCAGGGATTGGAGTTTTAAAGGTGTAGGTGGGCTTGTTGATCACTGGGCATGGATCTGCAGGGATAACGTCCAGCACAAGGACGAAATCATCGTAGGCTATGGCAAGCTGCTCTTCCTGCTTGATGACTGGTTTCTGTGACTCTGGAGGTGGGATGCATGCTACGTCCTGCCTGGAGTTCAGTGGGAAGACAAGGACTGTTCCAGATACAAGCCCTGTGAAAAGGAGCTGGTTTTGCTCAGCTATTTCCAGGCATCGCACTTGGGCAGAGGTGTCCAGTGGGTCACACACTTCACCTGTAAACCAGAAGGAAATCAGGAAGACTGGTTTTACTCCAGCTGCACCCAAATGCCCTCCCTCAGATGGGGCTCATGATTGGCTTCATTCTTGTGAATAATTTGCATATTATTCATATTTCCACTTTCCTCATGTCATAATAATAAGCTATTCTGGACAAAAACGTTGGAGAGGAGATTAAAATGCTCTCTGAAACAAACTTTCCTAAATCTCACGCTTAGAAAGAGCAGAAGGGAGCAGCCTGTCCTTGTCACAGCCGCAGAAAGCTAACTCTGCCTTTGCTGCCTCTCCGAGTGGGTTGGTTCCTCTCCCACCCCACACGCAGGCTGAATTTAACGCCGTGTTTCCGAGGTGCAGTTTACCTCCCGTGGCCTTCCAGATGATAACTTTATCTCTGTTTCCAGGTTGGGTAAAACAGACGTCGTTCCCGCCATGGGACAGGGCAGCACAGCCGGTATTTGAGACGGGTGCCAAGGGTTTTTGTCCGTGTTTGTGAGTGAGGTTCCACACCCCTAGGTGGGGTGTGCAGTGAGAGGCAGAAACCAAAGCGCAGCTGCAGAGAGCCAAGAGTGTTACTGGTGCTCCCATGCCATCCAGTGTCAGTCAGCAACCCCTGGTCTGCCAAACTCCACACCTCGGAAAGGTTGGGGAGGGGGGAGAAGTCATCAGTGCCAGAGCTGCTTTTCCTCAGTCCTGTTTAAGAGGTAAAACAATACACCTTAACTAACTTATCCAGAAACATAAGTAAAGCCAAAGGATAACATCCTAACACTGGAAGGCAAAACATTGCTTTTACTGCAAACAAATGCTTGAAGCACCTGGAGCCGTTCAGCCCACTTGCTTCCTTTCCTCTGAAAGATCTCTAATTAATCCTGCACGTTCTGGACTGTACCAGCTGTTTACCTCTTTCTTTGGCAAGAGCTGGTGCTCCAGATGTGTATTCCATCTGCCTCCCGCTCACAGATGGGTAACAAGGCAGTTTTAGGAGTTTGAATTAAAAAAATTTAGACATGAAATTGTATTCCAGGCCCCAGGCAGACACTGGCTTGGGGCTGGCCCTCTGAATTGATAAAGTGTTCTCCATCCTGTGTCAGGAATAAAAGGAGAACAGGAAGGCTTAAAGCAATGAAGAGAAGGGTCAGTGGTCATCACTTCTAGGAGTGTGGCAGTACTAGAACTGCAAATCCAACCCCCAGGCAGGTTGCTGGGGATCAAGATGACCTCCTTATTGGATTGGCGCCGTATTCTGTAAGCTGCATTGTGAGAGATGCTGTGGATTGGGAAGCTGCCCAGCCTTCCCTCCTACCTGGATAGATGCAGCCTGAGAACCAGTAACAATAATGCTGTTGCCAGCAGAGATAACAGCCGTAAGAACCACTCCTTCATGTTCCAAGTCTGCTGCTAGGAACCTGTGGAATCCCTTGGAGTCTGCCAGCTACACTCGCACGTACTCCTCAAAGCCTAAAATAATAAAATTTTAGTTGCTGATATATTGAGCTGGGAAAGTCTCTAATCCCCTTCACAGCATGTCCTTGTGCATACAGTTTAACTCCTGTATTTCTTTAAAGGTAAGCCCAAAGAGTAGCTTAGAAACCATAAAAAATAATCATGCTGGCTTGAGTGATTTTCACTACTTACATCTCACTTATTCCCTTGAGAAAGGGCTCCTGGGACTCAGGCAATGCTCTGCCTTTCACAGAGGGAATTTCACCCAATCTTTGTACAGCAGTTACTTAAGTAACTGCTTAAGTAACAATCTTAAGTACAGCAGTTGACTAAGGCCAGGCTAATGGGAAATTCCACACGCTAGCCCCTTTTAAAGGCCACTTGGCATGTGGGAGAGCAGCTATTAGCAACGCTTTCCTAAGGAATGGGTGCTGTTGAACCTGCAGCAAGAACGGACTCGTCTTCTAATGCCACCACAAAGCAAACCCTTCCAGGAAGCTTCTCTAGCAGACTGTTTCCATCAGGAGAGATCTGCACAAAAATAAGGCAAGAGTAAGACATGAAGCTGGGGTGGCTGAGCTGCCTCTCAGGTGAGGGCAAGAGGATGGATTAGTGCAATTAGTTTGGCCGCATGGCTTTGGGCAGAGCTATGAGGTGCAGCAGGATAGAAAGTGTCTTGGTTGTCCATTTGGGAACAAGGATATGGAAGTGTGAGGAGGATGCTCTGCCCAGCATGGAGGAGGAAGCCCAGCTGGTTACTAGATCTGTTGTCTGGCTCAGTAAACCTCTGGATATTATAAGAAATACTATAAGGAAGTTGAACAGAGATGTGTACCATGGCTAGAGATCCCCTGCTAAATCCCACTATCATCTCCCTTTCCTTCTGGATCAGAACGCTGGAAGCTGGTGTTTCTTCCTGTAGCCCGGGTAGCTGACATTTGGATCTCAGCTTGCCGGTGTTGCTGTTCCACAGCCTCAGCGTGCCTCCTTCAGACACAGTCATAATCACCAGCCTTGGGCTGAATACTGCAGAACACATCCACGCATCGCATGCCTCTCCAGAGATCTGGAAGATGAGTTCTGCTCTCTCCAGGCGCCAAGCATGGATCTAGGAAAGAGGTGGCAAAGAGATAGGTGTAGCGGGGTCTAAGGTAGCTTTTCTGTCTACAGCCTTCATGGTTGTGGCTCTAACTTCTGAAGTTCTTGTTCCTTCAGCACGCTTTACGTTAAAGAGTGGCCATACCTTCGTATCTGAGGAAGAATATACAATCATGTGCCCCTCATCCACATGAAGGTGATGTGAGGGGTCTTCTTCGATGTCCGTGTCCTGGATAATAAACCTTGCTCTGCCAGAAATCAAATTCCAGATGCGCAGACTGTGATCCATGGAGGCTGAAACAGCACAGGTTCCTTTTCCAAACACTTTCACACACCTCACCTCAGCTATGAAATAAAACAAGGGTTCACAGAATGAAGGGTTGTCAGCGCTTTCAGCAGTTGGGAGAATGCTGGCAGCTGGGAGGTGTCTGTGTGCCTGCGGCGCAAGGATGGCCAGGCTGTCCGAGCTCTTCTCAGATATTAAAACAAGCTCTCCAGCCCTGAAAAGTGGAGAAGGCTCACCAGAGTGCCCAGGGAGGGCATGCAGCATCTCTAAAACTTCCATATTCCAGACAAGCATTGAGCCATCCTGGGAACCTGCCACCAGCAGCCGGTAATCGGAACTAAGTGCCATCGCTGTGATGCCTGCTGTGATACAGAGAGAGGAGAGGCTGTTCTTGATACCGCAGGCAGAAAGGAGACATTTTAAGATTGTTAATACGCTGTGTTTCCCCGACTGGAAACCCCCCTGTACTGTCTGAACCCCGCAGTCTGTGCCAAGAGCAAGATTAGGTTCCCTCAGACATATCTAGGTCAGTGTGTGCTTTTGTTGTCCTGACGACAAAGTGACCCACTTTGTCCTCGTGTTGCAGCGATTGCGACTGGGACTGGTGCACGACTGAGCCCAAAGGCAAATGGACTTTTATCCCGCCTTTGTGGAAGCTCACAGGCAAAACTGTATTTCTACAGAAACAGCTGTTCTCTCCTTCTTGCTCTGTTTATTTATGCTGTTTCTTGGATCTCGCTCATAACAGATGGATAATTAGGTGTATTCTCGGGCTGTATCTGTCACCAGGACTAACCCTACCTTTGAGGAATCCGGTGAGTGTTGTGTGTAGGGTCCCACTGGCTGGCTGGAGAAATCCGCACAGTGGAATGAGAACGGGATAGGGACAGGCACCACACCAGCTTCGACACTGCTGGCACAGCTTCCCGATGACCTCCGGGTAAGAAGGCACGAAACCAAGAAGCCTGGCCAGCACTTCTGTGTATATTATACTGGCTCCTAAGAGAGCAGAGACAAGAAAGCGTTTTAGAACACGACTGGTGGGCCTGTGAGCGCTGCCACAGTTGTGTTTTCTGTGACGTACCGTATTTAATGAACTGGGCAGGCCTTGTCTGGCCAGGCACTCGAATAATGTAGGGAAGGCGATGGTGTAAAACATGGGCAAATGTAATGGTGTGGCAGGATTTTTCCCTTGAGGGGGAGGAGTGGGAATTCTGAGAAGAGAAAGGAGCAGCACTGTGTGGCCTCTCATCTAGTTTGTTTTAAAGCTGCGAGGGCATCCAGGTCACTAAAAGGTGCTTCTGCTGAATGTGGGGCAACAGGCGCTGTGGTTATGGTAAACGGCTCTAACCTGTTGGCAACCTCAGCTTCCATGGAATGGGGCCTTTATGAGTCTTTTGATGATCCCAGAACAGGTAATTTTGTCACTGGTTGTAATTCCTCAGAAAAGTACTTGGAAAGGAAAATTTCACTTCTCTCCCTGGGTCGCTCTCTGACACGGCCGTTACCTTCAGGGCAGCGTACGCTGCTGACTGCTGGCTTCAGGAGGAGAAGCGTGTCCTGCACGAGGCGCAGCTCTGGACAGCCGATACCTTCGGCACACACGGCAAAGTCATCAACCACGCTCTCTGTTCCAGAGGCAATTATTTTACAGCTGATCCAGTTCATATTCCCTGCAGAACGAAATGCTGTTAGAGCAGAGAACATCAGCCCTGAGAATGCACAGTTACTCTGACAAGACTGAAATAAAAAATGCTTGTTTTGGGTGAGGAAGAGGAGAGAAGGATCAACAGCCGCCAGCAGAGGAACTGGGACTCATTGCTGAGGAAGTGGAGAGCTGCCGTTGCTCCGATTCAGTCTTTAGCCTCTTAAATGCTCTCTGTATTTTTTTTAATGCAGTTTTTATGTTTCATTCTCATCTTTGGGAGGATCTAGATGATTCCTTTTAGCTACTAAAGGAGTGTGGTGATAATTTGAGGATAACAGTTCATAAAAGTTTGCCTATTTCTCTTTTTCAAGTTCTCTTCTCACAGCGGGTAGCGATGCTGTGCAGAAAGGGGGTGATTCTTACCTGTGGCTGTAGGCATGAACCTCTGCAGAGCACTGTATACCCCTTCTCGCCCGGTCCTTACCCAGCACATCCTGCTTCAGCTCCTCAATTCGTCCAGCATTAAGTAAATGAAATGGCAATTCACTCAACGTCCTCAGGTTTGCAACAGAGTCAGAGAAACAGAGTGGCTGAGGAGCTACCTGAGAGTAACCAGAACGGTGGATTTGAGACATGGCTTGGGGATTAATGTGTTTGCTTTCACAACTTCAGCGCTAGGTGGTATCTTGTGGTATGCCGGACAGCACTTCCACGATTTTCATTGTTTTCCTTGTTGTGGTTTAATCCCAGCCAGCAACAAAGCACCACACAGCCGCTCACTCACCTCCCCCTTCCTGCAGCGGAGGAGGAGAATCAGAGCAAAAGACAAGGAAAGTCATGGGCTGAGATCAAAACAACTTAATAATTGAATATGAATAAAATAGTGATACTAATAATACTAAAAATACTAACAATACTAGTAATAATATGTAATGAGAATAATGGAAAGTAAAATAAATGGTACAATTGCTCACCACCTGCTGACTGATACCCAGCCAGGTCTTGAGTAGCAGGAGCCCAAGAGAGATCGCAGCAGGGTCAGAGTGAGTCCCAGGAGCGAGAGCACAAACGAGAAAAGCAACTAACCAGTGACATGGCGCCCCCCCCAACTTATATACTGAGCATGAAATGTCCCTTTGGTCAGTTTGGGTCAGCTGTTTGGGCTGTGTCCCCTCCCAGCTTCTTGTGAAGGAAAAGTTGGGAACACAGGGGCAGCATCAGAAACTGGAAAAGTCCCTGAATTGGTACAAACGCTCCTCAGCAACAACTTAACCCAGCAGTGTAATCAATACTCAGCGCAAATGCAGAACACAGCCTCATGCTGTGAAGAAAACAAACTGTCCCGACTAAACGCAGCACATCCTGTTAGCTGGAAATGTTTTTCATGACTCTAAATTTCTCTTGCTACAGTCTGAGGCAATCTAATCTGTATTTTGCATACATGAATAATAAATTCCTTCCTTTCTTGTTGCCTTTTACATATATGAAGACTATATAACAGTGTTTGTAAAATGACTGTAGATCTCCTGGGTTCAAGATACCTGTTTAAAAAAAACCCCTATCTATATAGTTTTGACATTGCTGAAAGCACTGAATAGTGTCACTGACTATTTTCTCTGTTGCCTTCTGATTTCAGACCCTGTCCAGCAGTCTGGAGACACAGAGCCTGGTCCAGAGCTAACAGGTATGGAAATGCCTGCTGCTATTCCTCACCCTCCTGTCAGCATTCAAAGTCCTGCCAAAGTGTGGCAATGTGAGTGGTTTCTTCATTCCCCAGCTCCAAGTCCCCTTGAAGAAATCTGCCAGGAGAAAATGCCTCTTGATTTGGTCCTGTTTTGATAGATAACGGTTCTGCACTATTTCAGCAAATTGCCTGGGAAGGGAAAAAGTAATGGATGTGCTGGAACAGGCAGCTAGGGCCAGGCTTGTTCTAGAATCACAGCATTGACAGGGTTTAAGACTGGAGAGGAGTCTCAGCAGGGTGCCCAAAAGCCCAGGATGGGGACATCCCATACCGGGGGGTTTGGCTTCTGCTCCTCTGCCCTCTGAGAGTACCTGTGTGCAAAGCGAAGAAGGGTGAAGCCGTCTGCCTTCTGTTCCGCCAGGCACTCTCCCATGTCGCTGCGTAGCCGTGCCCAGTGGAGAGGAGGAAGGCGCAGGATGGTTTTACTTGAAGGAAAGTAGCAGTGGTGAATCTCTGAGAGAACTTCATCATCAAGGGATAAAATGTCCTTCAGCTCCATGTCTGACAGCCCATTTCTGCAAGTGAAGTGTGTTGTATGAAAGGAAATGATTTATTGTGCTCATTACTGTTTACGCTGATATCCATAGTGGGAGGGTGAGTGATCTCTCTGGCAGTTCAGAAGTGCTGGACATGAAAACTCTTGCTAGCTCACGTGCACGCATGGCAGTCTCAGCTGAGAGCTTAGACCCTGGATAAGCCATGGAGATGGATTTCCTTTTTCAAGTAATCCCAGAACATCTCCCTTCAAGACAATATTTTAGGTAGGCTGCCAGGTATGAAAGGGATGTTATGCTTGCTAAATCTATGTATGAACATTCACAGGCTCAGAGAACTGAGAACTTCGATGGGTTTTGGCTGTGTTTAGACAGATTCCCTATGAGGAGCAGGAAATAGGGGCTGTTCCATCAGAAATACAGCTGTACTCACTGTGAGGAAGCAATATAGCCAAGCACGTGAGCCACGAGGAGTGTGCCGTGTGACTTTTCCAGTCTCTCGCACAGGCGATGCATGGCGTCCTGGGCTGTGCTAGCAATCACTAGTTCGGAAGGAGGCGTGTAAGATGCCCATTTTCTGGCCTCACGGAAGGCCAGCTTGAAGAGCAGCGCTTGCCCACCCCTGGGGAAGCTCTGGTGGAAATAGGCCCATTGAGCTGGGCTTAGTCGTCGTCTCTCTGACGCTAAGAGCATCTCTAGCATCTCCTCACCTTCCTCGCAGGGTAAGGGTTCTACTTCAAAGTACGCTTCAGCCTCAGGCACAACGTGTTGGAGAGCTTTCAGAATATCAGGCTCTGCTGTGGAAATGGAAATGATGATGTGGGCCTTTGGAGGGCAATCTTCAGGGAGCCAGTGGAATCTGTGAGCGCCATTACCAGGAAGTAATCTCTCCACAGAGTCAAGGAACAACACCAGTGTCCTTGTGCCACAATGGGACACAGCGAGGAGGAGTTTACTGAGGAACAAGACTAAATCACTGCCAGCCTGTTTGGCCTGGGTTGGAGGTTGTGGGAAATCAAATGCTAAACACACTTGGAGGCAGATGTCCCTCAGCAGGCTGTGAATGGCAGAACTGAGCTGGGATGTCCCCAGCAACCGAATCACGGCTACGGTGTCATGCGCTAAAGCAGCTTGCACCCTCTCAGATAGTTTGCACATCACAGCTGTTTTCCCACAGCCTGGTGGCCCATAAAGGATGAGGGCTTTGTGCGTTTTCTCATTGTTCTGCCTAATACGGTGAAAAATGTTATCCAATAAATTCTGTCTCCCACAGAAAAATCTGCAGTGCTTCAGGCACAGCGCAGTGTGGTGGCCCAGCTCCTGCAGAAGTCGCCCCGGCTCCTCGCTGATCTGTCCTCTGTATCGAAGGGTCTCCAAAACCTGGTGATTCGTGACAGCAGCGAACTGCTCACAAAGTTCTTTCAGGTATTTGTTACTCTCCTTGCACTGAGGGTTCCCAGAGTCTTTCCTGTATGCCAGTGTGTGTACTTTGAGGTGTTTGGGGTAACGCCTTGCGATTCGCGCTTTAAGGTTGCTGAGCAGCTGTTTCGCTTCACTGTCTGGATTGTCCTCTCATCCTAACAGCTCACTGTTTGTCCTTTGCTCAGTTTGTCTGTTGGAATCCTCCACCTCTCTGAGGAATATGAAAGCCCCTGGATTGCTATCCTGGGTATTGAGGAGACCGTGTTCAATCTCCCAGTCAATTGCTAAAAACCACAAAACCGAAGGGGGAGATGTGAGCATACGAACACAGGAAAAGCCATCCACCAGCACTAACATGAGATCCCTTGGTCCTTCTGTATTTCAGAGGATGCTAGCAGCTCAGCATTCCCCACGTCCTCTGAGCTGGGTAAACCCCTGGATGTGCTCAGGAAGATAGGGGAAAAAGGAGAAACATTTCTACCTGGTGTTTTAATTATTGTTGGCTAGTCAGCACCAACCTCCTTTCTTGGGATTTGGGATAGGGCAGGTAGTTAGCAAGCCTCTTCCTTCCCTACATCTTTCCTGTTGCTGTCTGGAACCAAACAGCTGTCCTCCCTGAGAGAAGGACATTGCAGCCCTGCCGGAACACACCTGACCGGTGGTAGCAGTGGCTCCGCTCTGGGCTGAGCAGCCCGCACCCCTCTGCCTTCTGGGCCACCATGCGCAGCGCTGAGGCCAGGCGTCTCTCCAGGCAGGGCCAGGCCTGCCCGTCAGCCGGCTGCAGCACGCAGCAGGTGGGCAGCGCGTTCTCATCCCGCCGGTACCGCTCTGTCAGGAGCTGGGCCGAGTCCCCTGCTAGCTGCAGAGTTAGGGCCTCAAATTCCTTCTCCGTGATGAGCCGAGGCACAGTCTGGTGCCCGTAGTTGTCCCCCAGCAGTCCCTGCAACAGGCAAAAAAGGGCTGGCATGCAGGCACTGCTGCCGCCGTGACAGCTGGAGTGGGGCCTGGCTGCTTGCCCTAGCACCTAGGATTGCCGGGGAGGGCTGCCCAGAGAACGTGCTGGTAAGCACAGCGCCCTCGTGGCTTCCATGTTGGACAGGGACAGCCAAGCAGAGCCCCAGCCTGCCCCATGGTCAGGGAGAAGGGGCTTTAGAGCAGCGGCTCCTCAGGCTTTCAGAGTGTGTTTTTGGGCGGGCAGAGAGCGGTGGTGAGGCAGTGGATGCACACAGCAGAACTGGTCTGGGGACGTTGGCCAGTGGTGCCGTAACATTGGCTTTGGGGTGGAGAAGAACGAAGGGAACAGCACTGCGCCGGGGGACTTCTGATGAGGACCGAAGGCTGGGCTGGGGAAGAGTGAGATCCTGAAATGGGGCAGCCTCCCGCATCCATACACTCCGGCAACAGCCGGAATAAGCTCAGAGCGCAAGCCCAGAGTGTAATCCTTGAGCGGTGCCCTTCTGGTGTGCGTAAGGGGAAGAGGGAGTAGTGAGACCCTCGTGGCTGCCTCTGCTGAGATTCCTAGGTACGCTCCGAGACCCAGAGGGAGACGCTGCCTGGGTGCCTGCCCGTGCCATCTGCGTGTGCAATGTGGTGCTCACAGGGGTGAGCTGCAGGGAGCCCAGCCTTGGGGAGCTCCTGGGTGCAGTAATGCCGTGGTGAGCCTCTCCCGGTCTCTGCCTCTCCATTGCTGGCCTCTGGCAGAAGTGGCTCAGGAGGAATCAGGCACAACTTGCACAGATACTTAATTGGTTATTTATTTACTTGTAACTTCAATTATGCCTCCTGGGACTGCGTATTTATTCTCTCTCTTCAGCAAAACTTTCTTTCTCCCTTTCTAAAGCCAAAACAACCTGAGGAAGCAAGCTGACGCTTCTGCCTCAGCTCTGCAGGGCTCAAAGCTCTGTGTGTGGGTTTTTGTGTGGGGCTGTCACCAAAGTGCTCCAGGGAAGCTGAGGTGGGCTGCTGGGGAGCTTTCAGTGGATAGGAGTGGTCAGAGGGATTTGAGTAGGGCAGAGGCATGGAACAGGTATCAGCTTGCAGCGTGATGCCCAGCTCTGTCCCTGGTGGTTGCTATGGCATTTTTCTGGTTCTCTGCACAGGGAGTTTGTGTTTATTCCATTTATTACAGAGAAAACCTCCTCAGTATTGAGGTATTGGGCAGGAAGCAAGCTTGGAGCAACAGCATCTTGCCTTATGTGTATCTCCATCCACCTCTTTCATCTGCTCATCAATGCACACAGCCCCTGTTACCTTCTGCTCTGAAGAGACTGGTCATGTGCCTGTCAGGGCTACTTTTGTCTTTTTAGGGACTACTGGCAGTTACTGACATCTCGGCCCCACCGGCGAGCTGATTTTGAAGCTGCTCAGGCAGGCTCATTCCTTCTGAAAACCACCTTACTTGCCCAGTGGACCTGAGTGCGCCCGGCCCGCCCCGTACGTCCCACTTCAGCCTGCGCCGCACTTACGATGAAGGTGGGACCCGCTGACAGTTTCTGACAGGCTTCAATTTCCTCCAGAGAGAGTTGGGCGTATCTGTGATCAGGGTCTACAGGCTCAGAAATACCCCATTTCAAGTCAATTACCTGCACAAAAACACACCATTTTTAAGATTCTTAGACTAGTCAATACTGTCATCAAAACAGCGACGTGGGAAAATTAAGTCATTCTATCATGTTTTGGTTTTAGATCGGTCTGAACACTAGTGCTACGCAGCTTTAATTACTGCAGCTCTGCAGGAGACACTGAGACACTCAGAATGGCTCAGGAGGGATTTCTGCTGTGAAAGACTTAGGGATTCGGACTGTAGATGGCAAATTAGGACAAGGAACCTCAAGACTGTGGGTTATTTGCTGCAACTTTTCAAGCCTATCTTCTGTCACAGAAGATAAGGATCCCAAACATTTCAATAGCCCCTTTTATGCTACAGGTTCTGTGCAAATTAGTATAATTAGGTAGTTCAACTACCCCTGAAGTATTTCCAGTGGAATTTACACGTGGAACTTTTTTTTCCAATTGAATATAGTAACAAAAGGATGATGGATACCCTTGTGTCCAGGTGCTTGCATAGGGTTGGCCACCGCCACTAAAATCTCTACTCAGAGATTTTAAAGCTCTACTCGGAGCTCTACTCTGCTCTGGTGAGACCCCACCTGGAGTGCTGCGTCCAGCTGTGAAGCCTCAGCATCAGAAGGATATAGACTGGTTGGAGCAAGTCCAGAGGAGGGCACGGGGATGCTCCAAGGGCTGGAGCCCCTCTGCCATGGGGACAGGCTGGGAGAGTTGGGCTTGTTCAGCCTGGAGAAGGCTCCGGGGAGACCTTATTGCCCCTTCCAGTGTCTGGGGGGGGCTACAAGGAAGCTGAGGGGGGCTTTTTACAAGGGCCTGTAGTGACAGGACAAGGGGTAACGGGTTTAAATGGAAAGTGGGGAGGGTTAGACTGGATATCAGGAAGGAATTCTTCCCGCAGAGGGTGGTGAGGCCCTGGGACAGGTTCCCAGAGAAGCTGTGGATGCCCTATCCCTGGGAGTGTCCAAGGCCCGGCCTGATGGGGCTTGGGGCAAACTGGTCTAGTGGAAGGTGTCCCTGCCCATGGCAGGGGGGGGGACTGCATGGGCTTTTAGGGCCCTTCCAACCCAAACCATTCTGTGATTCTGTGAAGATCCATCCAGCTCAAGCATACAAATATACTCCATGTAAGAGTTCTAGGGAATAGGTACAGCAGTATTTGACTCCTAGGAGGATTCTAAGGAAATGGAAAAAACTTTTTTGGTTTTTTATCCCTCCATCCCACATGTTTTGATGGCCTTTGGACAGGACAGACAGGAGAGAAGTGATTTACCTCAAGCATTAGGCCGTGCTTCTGACAGAAGGCCTGTGCCTCTGGGTAGGCTTTCTCCAGGAGGGTCTCTCTTTCTGTAGCCATGTCTGCAGGGAAGGATTTGTGAGGCACACCGGAAGTTAGGGCTTTGGAGCTGGGTTTTTGCTTTGTGTCTTGTTAGACATTACAGCAAAAACGCAGTTTGTGTTGCTGTTATCTGATCTGTGGTGTTTCACCCCGATGGCGTTGTGGTTAAGTCCTGTAAAACTGTGGTTTCCAGATGTCTGCAGACTTGTGCCCACAGTGCTACGTTACCGATGCGAGTGCGTTTTCAAGGTTCCAGACCGGCTTGTCCCGCTGTGGGTTTTATTTGCTAATATGCAAACTCTGGATCTGGAAATTTTGGATTGCATAGTTACAGGATACAATACAGCAGCATTGATCCAGAAAAATACATTTCTTACATCTTACTGCAGGAAATCCTGCAGCCTATTTTAAGACCACTCAGGCACCCTGTTGGCCATCTCAGCAGTGATAAATAGCCACAATAAAAGGCAATTCTACCCACAGGGAATCTTTTCATACAGCCTCAAGTCTGTGAAATTGTTATGGCCGCTTCCCCCGCTGTGCTTTTTACAGGAGAGATTACCACTTTCTAGAAAAATCCTTGTGCCACCTTTTAAGTGACATACGGAATTAAATCAAGCAGCAAAGTAGGTAAATTCCAGATAAACTAAGACAAAGCAAATAGGAAGAAAAGTAAGCCCATCTATGCACACAAACGCAAGTACGCATGCTCACTCCCGGCGCCCACATCCACGCACCCTCTCCCGCTCGGGGATGCTTTCCACACCTGCAAAATGAAAAGACAAGTGGAATATAAAGGACATTATTCTCCTTACATATGTTTCATCATAGGAGATTATACTTTCTTCAGAACTGGAATATTCTTTCCTCAAAATTATTTAAACATTCACGGCACTATATAATCATGTGGTAGAGTAGTACAAGAGGGAATGCTAAAATTAGGATGGGGAATGGCTGTATCTGCAGCTTTCCTTGGGACTGTTCTAAGTGAAAAGTGATCCCTAATGAAGTCTGTGCCAGTGTCAGATGAGGAGAGGGCTCCCTTGGGTTAGGAATTATCATGTCTGCCCTGCTGTCCAACAGGGAGCAAGCACTCTCATGTCATACTCCTGGAATAATTCATTAGCCCTCAGCAAGGTTGCAGTAGTTGTGGGAAATCCTTGTATCGCCTTACAAGCCAGCCCACGTGACTTCCAAACTTCACGGAGAGAGTGGGTTGAACAAAAGTCTGTCTTTTGCTGAGAATCCAATCACATCACATCCTTCCTCCCAAAACTGTTCCTGAAAATCCACGAGGTCTACCACAACTTGGACAGGTGGTGTAGGTAAAATCTTAACACTGTGTCCTTCTATGCCCACTGGTCTCAGACTGTCTGCAGTTCTCGTACACTGCAGGAACCGTTCTGTAAATGCTGATCTACCTGCTTAGCCTGGAAACACCTCGCTGGCCACACCGCGTATCCTCACGGTATCTCCGACTGGAGGAGATGCTGCTGTATTTCCTTTCTTTGGAAGGCACTTTTTGCGGAATTGAGAGCCCATCTAAGCCTAAGTCTTCTTAATTAAAAATGGAGACAGAGTAAATGATTTTCAGAAGCAGAATCTGAGCTTTGTAATTCCTGAAAATCTGAGTCATTGCTACCCACTGCCAGTTACCACTTTAGGAGCTCAGTCTGGCAACCATGTCCCAGCAGGCAGAGGAAGTGGGAAATATTTGGAAATTGTCCAAGAAGAGAAGTTCTTCACAAATATGTCTTGCTGTTAGGGCGGTGGATGGGAAGCAAATGTGTGCTGCCCAGCGTTTCCAGAAGGCCTGCTGCTGCGTGCAGACAGGCGCTGCGCTGGGCTACCGTCACGCAGTAGTGCCCGCTCTGAATTTGGCCCCACTGCAGATGCCGGTTCCTGAACTGATGCAGGATTCTGCCATCTCGGACACGTTCCAAGTGCAAAGTGAGTGTGACTGCATGAAGCTCTGTATAAAATGCAGCAGATCATCGGCATCTTCGCTTTCAGATGAAGCTGCAAGCTTACAGCTTCTCTGCCGAGCACAGCGGTCTCGCCGCGCTGTAACGCTTTGCAGACTCTCGCAGAGAGTGCCTGATGCCTGCATCAGCTTCACGACTTTTCCGCTTTTTTACCTGAAAACACCGAGCTGATGAAGACTCGGACCAGGCTGGAAGGCTGGAACGGAAGAGGAACCATCTTCCCACAGAGAAGATCCCGGCGTGTGTCTGGTCTGAAGCTCATCCTGCTCTCTGGACCCCCTGAGTTCTCCTCAGCAGAGACAGCTCATTAGAGAGGAGATGACTAACGGCAATGAGCACCAGTCAGTGGTGCCCCTCTCCAGAAAGCTGGCTTGCTCCTTCTTTTAAGGAAAGCCTGGGAAGATCTCAGCTATTTTGACAGGGATGGTAGGAAATGGTTGACTGTCTACACTGAGATGCAGTGAAACGCATCCTGCAGCGATCCATCTGTATCTGAAGAGGACAGATATCTCTATAGCAACCGGTGTCGCTTGGGTAGAATCCCCAGGGTCTCTTCCTGAGGCATTAAATGTGTTCACTATCAGGTGCTGTACACCTGAGCTCCCTTTGTTCGCCACTCTCCACTATTTTAGAAATACTCATCCGTGTAGTTTAGCACCAGGTGAGCCGACCAGTGCCAGTGTCGTGGCTCAGGCACTCTCTGCCGTTTAAAGTGGGTTTCTTAATACCCCGGGAGTGTGCCTGTGCCCTGTCACCATCTGCCTTCTGCCACGCTGTGCAAGAGCGAATTTACCAAGAGGTGTTTAAACTGTGCACAGTGAATATTTACTGCTTTGCAGCTACGTTTGGACGGGGTACCATCCCCAAAGAGCAGCACGTGGGAGAAGGTAGAAAGAAAAAAATGAGGCATTTGTAAAAAAAACAGCAAGTAGGTAAAAATCAGAGAGAGAGGAGAAAAAAGACTTCCCGAGGGATGCTACTGCTAACAGCAGAACTCCAGCGAGAGAAGGTGTTTGGCTGTTGCTCCTAGCTTTGAGTTACTCGGTGCAGGGCACCTCTATGACCCACCTGCTAATCCCCTCACGGCGGGGATCAGCGTGTGCTGCTGCGGTGCTCACCCACAGGGTCAGTTGTTGGCCTCAAAGGCAGGAAACTGCAGCTGTCAACAGAAAATGAGTAGAAAAATAACATCTTTTGTCCAAATGTCCTCGGAATGCACAGGGTGGGAAGGCAGCTGGTGCAAACGTCGCAGCAGAGGCCCCGACAGGTAGGTGTCTGCACCTCACGTTCATGGAGGATGCTTTTCAGTGTCTGTCTTCCATGCTGGTCTGTTTTCCAAAATTCACAGCATGTTGCTGTTGCAGTGTGTTTCTGTATTTGCTGAGTACAGCTTTTCCCATAAGAAACGCTGCTTTCTCCATGTTCTGTGCCAGCAGAGATGGTGCTGTACCAGCCAGGCAGATTCACCCACTCGCAACCACGTTCCGCTTCCCCATCTTCTCACAGGAGACCGTGACCTGTTATTCCTGTGGCCTATTGCCTTCTCCAGGAAACTGAACTGAGCATGTCGGAGAACACCAGTACCAGCCAGAGCCGCTGCTGTGGTTTTTCCATTTCGCCCATGAAATGAGATTTAAGAGGCTGCTGTCCACCTTGGCTGTACCCCTCTGTATCCCCCTGGCATAGGGAGGAATAGGTAAAGAAAATTTGGTCATCTGTATTTATGGGCTCCTTTTGCAGACAATAGCTGATTAATCTCCACAGTCACTTAGCCAAATAAGAAGAGATTAACCGACACCCTAATCTGTCATAAATCAAACAGGCAGGGAGACAAGCGTCTTACTTTCAGAGACAAACGTTACAGCCTACGTTAGGGTTTAGCCTACATTAGGGTTTAGCCTACATTATTCTAAATCTAAGTTAAGACAACATTAGGACTCTAAAGTCATGGATTTTTAGGCTGTTCTCCAAGACACTGCAAGCTGTGATGTGCTGTGTGCATCTCACGCTGCATCTACCTGTCCTTATTACCGACTCCACCAATTCTTGTCACTAACAAGTCAGAGGAAATCAGCTCACTCACCCACTCGAGCGGTTGGTTGCAGTGGGGCCAGAAGTCCACAACTAGCAGATCTTTTTTTTTGGAAGATCTGCCAGCGCAATTGAGAGGGGCTGGGATAATTGGAAAAGCAGCAGCTTGCTTTTTGCAGGAAGGCAGCGTGTGTTAGGCTTCTGGTGAGCTTTCTGTAATTTGCAAATCAAAACCGAACACAATCAGCCAACCAAATCCTTTCCGGGGACATTTTGGATTTCCTGGGGCTATAAAAATGTTGAGCCTCTAAACATATCAGACCTGTTTTCCTGCATTCCACAGCTATAGCCTACCTGCACCCTAAAGCTAAGAGGAAATCACTATCTCACACTGATTCCAGCTCTTTTAAAAACTCCATTTCCAAATTCTCCTTTGGAACATAAAGGAAACAGATGAGGGTCATGATAGAAAATATTATAACTGGTACTTTTTCTAGGGATAATGCATGAAAGGTGTGAACGCACAAGTGTAAAGGAGAGACTGGACTCAAAGATCTTCATCAGTGTTGATGCCTGCACTATCAACATCTCCTTTTTGACAGAAATCACAGAGAAGCGAGTAGCAACCGTGAGTCACGATGGCAGCGTGGGCTCTGGCATGATGGGGAGCTTGTTTTCTCGCCGTCTGTCTGTTCCCCGAGCCATCGTCCCCCAACAGCTTGCTCACAGACTGCTGCCTTTGCAGACCGCGTGAGAGCAGGATTAAACCCTTAGCTGGGAGGTGGTTTTGTGGATGTTTACCAACTGAGAACAACACTGCTGGTGTCTGATGCAATCCCAACCCCGTTAATTGGCCTTTCCTTACAGTGGATGGGCACACAGGACAAACCAGATCCCCTTGGGGCCAGTACTGTGTAAGTATATGAATACATATATATAAGAGAGTACCCTAAAGGGGCAACTATCAACCCTCCGTGTGCTGTGACTGCCTCAGCTTTGCTATCAGCGGCGTTTATTTTCTCCGTTGCTAGTAGTTCACCTTCTAGCAGAGGTGGAAGAAGCTCATAGTAAATTCAGACTATCTTTGTGAGCTTTCTAGGAAATCTTGTACAGATGTATGTTCTGATTTCTCGTGATTTTGGCAAAGAACTAAAATCTCTTGAGAGAAAAGTCTTCGCTGCAGCAAAAAGCTGGGTATCTGAGGTGGTAGGAAATGCCATGCTACACC